CAAAATGGCACCTTTTAAGCTGAGAGAGAACTAAAGACTCAATTACAAGAATTATTAGATAAGGGATTTATCTTACCTAGCACATCTCCTTAGGGAGCATCAGCACTCTTTATGAAGAAGAATGATAGGTCATTAAGACTTTACATTGACTATTGGCAATTTAATAAGGTGGCGATGAAAAATAAGTACCCACTACCTTGGATTAATGATCTTTTTGACCAGTTGTAAGGAGCTCAATATTTTTCAAAAATAGACTTATGTTCGAGTTATAACCAATTAAAGATCAAGAAGGAGGACATACTAAAGACTATGTTTAGAATTCAATATTGTCATTATGAATTTTTTGTAATGCCATTTGGTTTAATTAATATACCGGTAGCATTCATAGATATGATCAATTGGGTGTTTAGACCATTCCTTGATAATTTCATGATCGCTTTCATTGATGATATTCTAATATATTCAAGGAGCTCTGAGGAGTATTAACAGTACTTGTGACTTTCTTACAAATGTTGAGTGAGCAACAACTTTATGCCAAATTCTCTAAATATGAATTCTTGCTTGATAAAGTTACTTTCTTGGGACATGTTTATAAAGATGGTATCCAAGTGGGTCTAAGCAAAGTTGATTCTTTTTAAACAATGTGTTGAGTATATTGGTAACATTGACACCTCAATGGGCTTATGGTTAGATATGCCCACTAGATGGAACTCCACTTACACAATGCTTGAGAGTGAAATTAAATATTATCATTTTTTGTATACATGGTTGTAAATTATACAAATTATAATTTTATCTCACACATGATGAGTGAGCTAGAGCTAATGCAATGTCCACCTTCTTAAAGCCATTTAAGAAGATTACAAGGTTAATTTCTAGGTCATCATATCCTACTTCAAACTCTTATTTTATGAAAATATCAAAAATTAAGATGTTTCTTAATACAAATATAAGGAGCCATGATCCTATGATTCAAGAGAACATTAGGAAAATGAAACTATAACATCCTAAAAATTAAAACTTGATTAATTAGGCTAAATAATAATGATTATGTAAATTAATTTGGTATGTGGTCAAATAGGGCTAATGAATACATTAGGTTGTGATTTTAGCCTTGAATTTGGGTTTGGAGCAAAGTAAGGTCACTTGGACATCAAAATAGAGGAAAAAATAAAGAAGAATGACTCTATATCATATGCCACAGTGCATGCAATGTGTGCCACTATACATTTAGCTAGGAAGCACGAAGAACCTCTTTGCACAATGCATGGACAAAATTTTACAATAATAAATCATGAATCAAACATGAAAATAGAAGGGAAGAGAGAGATAGAATAAGAAGGAAATAGAGAGAACTCAAGAGCTATGCTATGGCTAGCATTTTTGAAGGATTGGGAGTATCTTTAAGGTTGCAAAGACCTAAGGTAAGCTTCATAACCTTTCTCCTTCCTTTCTTTACAACTTTTTCAAAGTTTTTATTTAGGGTTTGTGTTTAGGAAATGATTTTTAGTCTATAGAGGTTATGGGTCCCACCCTATTAACTTAAATAGAGTTAATGAGAATTGTTTGAGTTATCTAAACTTAAGATTGAAGGCCATGCTCATCTTTAGTAGTTAGGGAGTATTTATGGCTGTATTTTGTCATTTGATAAGGTGCTTAGGAAGGTTTGAATACCATTAATAGTGAGCTAAGAATTTAATGAAGTTAGTTGGGGTTAATGGAAGTTAATAAATTTAATGGGTAAATCTAAATGCTAGAAATAAGAGCATTGGATATTTTAGGTGTTGAAATTGTGTAAATGATGATATTGATGAGTATGGATATGGTTAATTGTATATTAGTTATATGTGTACTAGTTTGAGCTTAACATCAAACTTTAGAAGCAATAGTAGAGGGGTAAACATTTGACCACTCAAAGGTTTAAGGTAACCAGTGAAATCTATTTTGTGTAGTTATATGTTAATTTATTTACTTTGCTAAAATGATATGTGATTAGCAAGAATAGTTGAAGTTTCTTATTTTCTATTATGTAGCATGTTTTGAAAAGCATAAATGAGTCTATAATGAGTTCTAAACTATAACATGATGAATAAATGATCAAAATCACACATTTAGTCATGATAATAATTGTGATATCTATGGAATATGTGACGAAGATGAAATTATAACATGAGAATAAATAATTATGTGTTGTTAGGAAAGCATGATATGTATATAACAAAAGTGGTGATATATTGCTGTGAGCAATGTGATGTGAATATATGATGATGAAATGATGAAAAGTAGAATATGTGATATTATGCATTATGTGAAACTATTCTTGGATGCTTAAGTGCCCTTAGAAATATATATTCAGATAAGATAAATCATTACTACAATATAAATGTTAATAAATAATTGGGCACATTGCTATAGTTGGTAACATGCTATCTATGCATAAGACATTGTATGATTGTATTAGTGGGAGTTTGCCTAAGGAAAGGAATAGTGATAAAATTCATATGGTATTGGTTACTTATCATTAGAATCGAAAGCTGGCATGGCTACCAACCATTAGAATCATGAGGTAGTCACTATCTCATTGTTTGTTGAGAGATTGTCCCATTGTCTGCTAGGGGACTTAAACCTAACTTGTCTCCACTTGTTCCTTAAGAAGACTAATTTAAGGTTTATGACACCTTAGGGATTCAAGAATGGGAGAAGTCATGGTCAAAGAGTGAGAATGGTGATCTTTGGCCTAGTTGCTCCCATAATTGATGAACTTGGGTAGTTCATTCACACGAGCAGAGTCTTGTTTGATTTATAACCTATGGTTTCACTCAGAAAGTATAAGGATGATATAAGGTTGATTTGATCACTCATATTATCCAATGTGTTACATGGTTGTTAAGTTTATGACAAGCCATGATATTTGATCATGCCATTATGACATAATTGTTATTATTGTGGCAATATGCATTGTTATATTTGATTAGGCCATTGTCACATGATTGTTAGTATTGTGGTAATGCGTCTTGTGACATGACTTATAGAAAATGAGGGTACTATGTTAAAATGATTTATACAAATATAACATGAGATATATGTGAAATTGTGATTTTAGTATCGTATGTCACATTTATGCTTTGTTTTTTAAAAAAATATTAATTAATATACAATTACATAGGGTAAAGGAACCTTAGTTACTAATTAGTTATAATCAACCCTTTCTTTTAACTTTTTACTATTTCTAGTTTGAGTGTTAAAAAGGAAAAAGGTTCAGAGGTTTAGGAATAAGTTATTCCTATTGTAAGTTTTTAAAAAATTAATAAAGTAGATATAGAAGACCTACTTTGCTAACATAGTCCCATTCAACCCATGTTCTAATGTAATATGTATTTCATATATTTGATGATATTATAGCCACAATCGTTAGCCTTATTGCATTGTTTTGGGCTCTATGATCAAACAATAAAAAAAAGTTGGTTATAACAATATAATATAATAAATTAAATTTGATGAAATAAATAAAGGTAAATTTAGACCATTAGTACTATCCATGGAAATGCAATCTCATAATTAACATTAGGAATTTGGCCACAACACGTTCTTATATGAAGAAACTGGAATGAAAAATTAATTTTTATGCACAGGTATCATATTAGATTGGCTCACTCTATGGCAAAGTTTGCACAAATCATGCCTAATTTCAGCCATTTCATTAACCATCCTCCTTGTTAGCTCGGAGAGGAGGAGGTAAGGGAAAGAAATCATCTTTCTATGAAATATAGGGGTTGTTTGAAACTGTTTTTATTTTATTATTTTAAAAACTAGTGTTTTGTAAAACATGTTCTGAGAACAAAAAATAATAATAAAAATAAATATTTTTCTGATTTTTTTTATTCTTTAAAACAATAATTCCAGAACACCTGAAAGTTATTTTTATTTTTCTGTTCTCTGAAACAATATTTTATTTTTTATTCTCTAAAATACATTTTGAAAACACATTACCAAACAAGTTTTTTAGTTCTTTTATTTTGGAGAACAGAAAACTGTTCCCAAAATAGGTTGCCAAATAGGTCCATAATCTTTAGGTGAATGGTATGACTTTTATTCAAAAAAATAATAATAATGAAAATAAAGAAGTAAAGGTGGAGATCAAAAATAGGAGAATTGTGTAGTGAAAGCAGACATAATATTGATAATGATATGAAAGAAATTATAGAAAATATGAGATAAAAAACTGAAAGAAAAATGTTAGAGAGTTCACTACTCTACTAAATGCATGTTGTTTTAAGGGAATTATTTCTGATTTGCGGAAGGGGGTAGTGTCTAATTTGGCTAGACTAAGTATTCAATTTCATTGGGATTGAAGAAGTTGAAAAGACCTATATGTGTGACTGCTCTCTTTGTAGGTACAAACAAAGTGATAATTTTGTCATAGTTTCATGCTCCACATTACTATAGTCATTACCTGCAATTGTTTTCAAAGCTTTTCCCATTTTTGGGTGGTTTTTAATTCCCCTAGCTCCTCTCCTTTTAGAAGAACTAACTGAGTTCGGGACAAACGTATTACTTCAGCCCAAATAATTGTGCTTAAGGCAGCAATTATATTTTAACATAAAGAGGGAGTATTTATTTAAAATTTAAAGGAAAATTACATCCAAAAATTTGAAAAAATAATTATTCACAGATAAAAATTAAAAACAAATATCATTTAAAAAATTTATTTTTTATTTTAATAATAATTCATTTCATATTAATTTTTATTTGTAAATAGTTTTCCTTCTGAATTCTTGAATGTAATTGGAAGTTTAACTAGCATAGTACCACAATCATCCCAGAGACCGATAAATAAAATACCACCAAACCATAACGTGTACGTCAAATTAAAAATTGTCTATTTGCAAAGTTCCAGCTAGTACAGTCTGGAGAGTGCCATCCGCACTGAAAATGACAAATCAAATCCGAATTATATATTTATTAAAAAAAAAAAAGAAAAGGAAAGACATGACAGATAGTATTCCAAACGAGCGGGTCTGATATTTTTATTTCTTTCACAAAACAAAAAAGAAAACATGAAATAAAACAAAGAAAAGAAAGAATCTCGCACGTGTCCATGAGCTGTGTACCGACAATCACCCACCAAAAAAATAAAAAAAACACAAAAGTATGCCGACACTGAGGTACATCCATATTCTTTTCTATGATGTATTTTCAGATCACACACTGCACTGACGATTTGATCCCTTCCCAATAACATCACTTGAAATTTTAATTTTTGGAATTATGTATTCTTCACATCGAAAAGTTTGTATGGTTGACGAACCACAAACTCGTGTGAAAAATTAAATCTCTAAAAATTAAAACATCAAGACATACATGTGCTTCGAAGATCAAATTGCATATTTTTCTTCAATTGTATGGATTAATTTAATTACTTAGTTTCTTGTTATAGAAGTAAAAACCCCATTACCCAAGTTGCCACAAGCGCGATAAACCTGAAGCCATTATTGTTTAAACCAGTTGATCCGCTATCATCATCGGCAGCTTTTTGATTATCTGAAACCGAATCCGGCGAGTCGGCGGAGTCCGGTGAATCAGCATGCTCTGACGAAGCCCCCTTCTTCTTCTTCTTCGCCGGCTTAGGAGACTCCGCCGGCGTCAATGCCGGCGCCTCCTTAAATAGTTCTCTGGGCAACAAAACCTTATCAATCTTGTACACCACAACAGGATCTTGATCGATCAACGTGCCAACTATGTTCGAAGTCACGACTTTGGTCTTTAATATAACATCTTCACCTTTACTATTCACTGTAAAATCAAACTTGTTGGCTCCTTCAGTGGCCAAAGTGTTGATAATCCCATTATGGGACCTCAACATTTGAAGGGTCTCGTACTCAGGAACGCCGTGATATAACAGTAACGACTCCTTCTCGGAGTCGGTGAGGTTCTTGTACTTGGGAAGGAAGGAGCTGACGGCGTCGTCGGTTGGGCAAAACACCGTTAAGCCGCCATCGACGTTGTGTTCGAAAGCGGGCAGAGCTTTCGACGGCCGGAGGAGATCGGCGAAGCCCTTGCAACCTTGTTTGGCCATGATAATGGTGAGATTGACGAGGCCTGGTCCAGAGGTTGGAGCTTCAGCATCAGGAGAAGAAAGAGGATGACTGATCTGAAGAACAGAGATGACGTAAGGGATTTCAAAGACTGATTTTACGTAGTAGGAATTGAGTCCATCGTTGTCTTCAGCTCCAAACCCTACTTTACCACCTTCGTCATCACCAAAATGCGATCCAAATATCAAATGTCAGAACGGAGAAATCCCAGTGAATTTCCAGACTAGTTTTTCTTCAGATTCAACTGAGCAAAGAGTTTCAAGAGTGAATTTTAAAATTTTATAAACTGACCCTAAATTTTGATGAAATTATAAGACAATCTCCTCCAGGCTTACGAGATACATCAAAATCCTTTTAAAAAATAAAACCCAATAAATTTTTTGTAGTGATATCACAAAGTCAACGGATCCCATTCAGTGAATCCATTCCAATGTAATTCATCTTCAAATTTCAACTTATAAAAAAAATTACCGCAAATCACATCATTTTTTTCTTGAATTTTATTTATAGAAATTATTATAAAATTTATAAGAAATTAAAAAAATGAAATTTTATATAATTTTCTGAAATTTTTAGTAACATATATTTATATTTTTCAAAAATAAAAAAATATATGTATAATTTATAAAAAATCAAAGGAGGTAAATGGGTAATTTATTTATAATCTTAAAGGATCTTATGAAATGTTAAATATAATTAATAACCTTTTACAATTTTGATAAAATTCATTGATCCTTCATGTAATTTACACATATAAGGAAAGTTGCGAAACGCCCAAGTCTGTAAATTAACCAGTTTGACCCAGAATTCACAGAAAATAGATTCAAATGGCTGAAGGAGCCTGTGCATGCTTACCTCTGACGTCGGTGATGTTGATATAGCCGGAGGTACCGGAAGCGGCTCCGGTGGCCTGAAACAGGGAGGAAACCAAGGTGGTGCGGTTGGAGATCTGATGCAGTTTCTTGGCGCCGAAGTAATCGGCTAAGACATGGAGGGAGAGGACGTTCTTGAGAGTGTAGATGTTGAAATGTTTGGAGAGGAGATCGGACATGCCGGCGTTGTCGACGGCGAGGACAGTGATGGTGCGGCGGCGGTTGATCTCGTCAGCGAGGTGAGTGGCGGAGAGGTAGTGGTTGAAAGTGGAGAAGTCAGGGTGCTTGGCCAGAATGCGAGTGATGTTGTGGCTGCCGCCGCCGCCACCATTGGCAGCCTTGGCAATTGAGGTAAGCGATAATAGGATGAGGCACACCACATGAGTAGTGGCGGTGGGAATAACTGGTGATTTCCTCATTTTTAGAAAATATTTGCTATCAAAGTGATTGGAGATTGACGGCCTCTATATATATACTTGCTTTACAACATAGGTGTGTGGGACAATCTTTGCAAGTTGTATTATTGTTTTTATTGTTGTGATTTTGAGGAGGCTAAATAATGCATGTCTTTACTTTTATCTCAACCAATCTAATTTAAACATAGGCTAAAATATTTATAGCAAAGGATGGCCAGAAAATTCATAAAAGGTGTGTGATTAATTATTTTTAAAATTCAAATTTGTTGTTTAGTTTTAAGATAATGACTGAATAGTAAGTTTTTTGGATGAAAAAAAAAAGTTAGATCTCGAGGTATTTGTGTCAAATGGAATAAGGCTGCAAATTGTCTATCATAAATATTTTTTCAAAAAATTATTAGGTGCACAACTAGAATCCGACATGTAATTTTTTAAAAAAATAAATATAAATAATTTTTTTACCGAAAATGTTATAATTTATAAATTTGTAACTGATATCATTATTCAAATTGGTTAATATGTATTCTTTTTAAATCACAATATAACTCACTTTTTAAAAGTATCTCTTAATTCTAAGTATAGAAAATTTGATAAATTTTATGTTTTTTTTTACCTTTTATGCTCTTGTTTTTTTTTTAAATTTTATCTTTAAATGCTTTATATTTAAAAGCCGTAAACATTAATTATTAGAAAATTTTAAGGGCATAGATTTAAAGATAAAAATATTTTTAAAAATTTTAACTAATATAAATTAGTTATTAATAATATATATTGTGATGTGAAGCAGCATATAATTTATATTAATTAAAATTTTAGAAATAATACATAAATAGATTTCGTATGCAGTGAACGTGAGAGCAGAGAGAAGTAATGCTAGCTCGGCATCAGGGAAGAGCGGCAGGAGGTGGGGCCCGCAAGGGTTGGATGATTGTAATTGAAGTCAAAAGGGCGATACCTTTGAACAAGCTTGGCTCTTTCTACAGTGCCATTTAGTGTATGGTCCCGGCTCCTGCCACCGACGCTCACTGCTTACACCACTTTCTTTCACTTCATTAATCTAAAATTCTTAATTCGATATAGATATTTTTAGGATTTGTTTGGTTGTTGTTATATTTTTTAAAAAACAAAAAACTATTCTGTAATATACTATCTCTGAACTAAAACATGATAGATTCGTAATTAATTTATGATATTAAAAAAATATTAGTTGAAACTTTAATTTTTTTAAAAAATTTGCATCATTTCAATTATACCTTTATACTTTATATAAATATCTTAATACTAATAATTAAAATTTTAATTTATTATTTAACAAAAGAGTAATAAACGAAGTAAGAATATAATTAAAAAATAATTATAAAATTTAACTAATGTTTTATATTTTTAATCAAACAAGATTTCTAAAATATGTTTTATACCATGGAAGGAGTAGTTTTTTAAAATAAAAGAAATTGAAAATTTATTTAGTTTCTTGTTTTATTTTTGTTTCATGTGCACTTGTTATATTTAGTTTCTTTAATCTAAGCATAGCTCAAAATCCTATATTGTTGTAAATTACTTTGACAATTTTAAAGAAATTTTGTTATCCCAAAATATAAAATAATTTTTTAAAAAATAAAATTTTATTAATAATACTTTTTTAATATTATTCTTCAATTGGAAAGAGAATAATAATGATGTTATAATGTACTTCCTCCGTTCAAAAATATAAGACATTTTTTAAGGAGTGAAATGTTTAAAAATATAAAATATTTTTAATCTTTTGAGATGTAATCATTGTTTTTTTCAAAAATATTCTTATTAATAATGACTTTATATTTATTATAGGGTATTTAATAGAGATAAATATGAAAAGATAAAGTTAGTTTAAAAGTAGGTGACTACTTTATTGGGGGTGAGATTTGATTAAAAATGCTGTATATTTTTAAATTGAGAGACTAATAATTAAATGTGTATGGCATTTTTGAAAATTTATAATTTTGATTTAAAAAAAAGTTTGTAAAGTGTTATTATTATATTTTATTAATATGTGTAATCTTATCTCAAATTATCTTTAATTTGAAAAGGATGAGGCACTTTAATCATTAAATTTAAATTCAATATTTATTAAAAAAATGTAATGTATTTGGCATTACATTTTTATCATTAATAATCTTTTTAAATATATTTGGAATTTTTATCATTAAATATATTTGGAAAGGATGAGAATAAGCTTTTCAAATACATTCGGAATTTTTATCATTAAATTTAAATTCAATATTTATTAAAAAATGTAATGTATTAGTTAAAATTTTATTTCATTTCAATTCTCTTTCCACAAAATTTTGACACAGTAATATAGGTATTTTTAGGATTTTTTTTAATGGTATTTTAGTGTGAATTATTTTTCATATTTTCTTTTTCGTAAGACATACTCCCTCTGTTTAAAAATATAAGTATTTTTAAATCAAATCTCACTTTCAATAAAGCAGTTACCTACTTTTCAACTAATTATATCTTTTTATATTTATTTTTATTAAACACCCTATAATAAATATAAAGTCATTATCAATAGGGGAACTTTTGAAAAAAGGTAATGATTATACCTCAAAAGACTAAAAATACCTTATATTTTTGAACATCTAACTTTTTAAAAAATGTCTTATATTTTTAAATAGAGGGAATATATACTTTTAAAAAGCATCACAAAATTTTGACACATTAACGACACAAATACCCAACTTAACTAATTTTTTAATAGGTGCGAATTAATAGTTATCCATTAAATATATAAGTTAGTTGAGGAATTTTTTGTATTGTGCATGCATGGGTATCCTCCTATTAAGAGTCTATATATTATAATTATTATTTATAAATGTTCCTCTAAATTTACAAATCCTTTTTTAAAAACTTATAGATGAATGCTCTGTAACAATTTAACAATTATTATTTGTAAAAAATGGCATTTATTTTTAAATAGGAGGTATACTGGTTAAATTGTATTTTTTGAGAAATTGTAAATCTCAAAAGTTAACATGTCAACTGTGCATAAAGATTTATAAATAATAATAATATTTTAATTATTATATATTCAATTATTAATATTTTAATAAGATATTATTAAAAAAATATAATATATATATATATATATATTGATAAAATGGTAGTTGATCAAAGTAGAGTTAAAATGGTATTTTAGTTGTTTACATGGAAAAAATAAACATTTTTTTCTTAATGTTTATTTATATTTTAAGAAATTTAATAATTATTTTTATAGGATAATTATATGTAATTTTTTTACCTTTTTATGTAATTTTTGAGGCTTTTTTTTATATATATAATTTTCTAGTCACAAAAGCTAACATTTATCAATAATAGAGGGGACCTTACAACAATTTTAAAAGTTAAATGGATATAATGTATCAAAAACAAATTTAAAATCTCACATACGTTCAATGTTATAATTTAAAGATGAAATTATTATTTAACTCAATATTATAATTGTTCTTAAAGCTCTATAATCAAACAAGACTACTAAATTTTTAGCACTTCTTGTTGCCTCAAATTTGCAGCACTGATCTTAATTAATTAGTCCTACGAAACCCACCTCCACCTCCATCAAGAAACCATAATTAATGAGCATATGATCGCTACCTAAATTGAATTTATTTTATCAGTTAATTTTAATTATGAAACTCAATGACTTTTTCAGATAGGCAAAGAGAAAAAAAATTCTGCCGCAAAGTCAAGCATATATCTCGTATAAGAAGCAAATTGCAATATCTTAATGTAAACAAAAAGCAAAAAGCACTTGACGGTGGCAAAAATAAAGCTCATAGCTATTCAGTCAGGACATAAAAGTGAGATTAGACTATAAAATTCAGAATTAACATATATAATGAATCAAATTATAAGATCTTCAAAGTGATTAGATCATTTTATTATCCTAATTTAGAATTCTCATATTCAATGGGGATTTTTCTGTCATTCTTCCTAATTTAAAACATTATTTATAATATTAAAATTCTTAAATCTTTTTTGTCTCAATAATTAATCTATGTCATGAAAACCACATTGCACCAATAAGTTCGGCCAATCAATTGATTAGTCAAACCATGATTTAGTGGGGAATAATTTAAAAATCATGACTAATAAAAATGGACAAAATTGATCAATTAATCAAACTTAAGCGCAACATAATTAATTTATTTATCATAAATATACATTATATAATAATTTATAACATATTGAATCGTTTAGAAATATATCACGAATGACTTGATCAATTATATATATATATATATATATAGTTATAAGCTAATGAATATTAAACTAATATCCTCATCAATTTAATGACGAATTACATTCTAAAATATTACTAACTCTATCCCTACAATGCTACAAAAAGTACATGCGAAACAAAAAGTTGTTAATGAAATTTCTTGTCGGTATGAGTGAACAACCATAAAACTCGTTTAAAATGAAATGTGGTAAGACCCATAAGCTCTGAATTGTCTGGTAGATTACTGTTCACAAGGGGACAATTTATTTAAGCATTTTACAATTTAGAATTATAATTTGATTAAATTAAAGACATGACAGCTAAGTGCCACCAAATTTTGTAAAAAAGATTGTCTAATGAGCAATGACAGAAAGGATTGGGCCTCCGCACGTGTAAGTGGGCCACCCATTATTTGTACTGCTGCAGTTGTCGTCGTGCCTTCTTCATCTTGTTCTTTTTTTTTTTTTTTTTGAAATTTGTAATGACCACATTAAAATTTCAAGAATTTATCAGTGTTAGGTTTTAATAATTTTTTTGTAAAATTAATTCTAAATTTAGATAGTTATAAATTTAAGATTTTAAATTTTAAATATAATTTTTATTTTATAATTAAAATTTTTATTTATAAATATTTAAATTAATATTTGTAACTTATCTTTTAAAAAAATTTATTAGAGACTTAACAGTCTTAATATCTCTATTTTTCAACTTTATTGTTATTAGTTTTTTTTGTTGCCTTGTTTGTACTGTCTTCTTGTTTTTTTCAATATTCAGA